TTTTTTTGGGGGGGACCCGTTAGCCACGTGGCAGGCAACGGCGGCGTCTCCTGCGCCACGTCGTTGTCTATGGTTAGTTGTTGCCAAGTTGTAAAGTAAAGGGTGTGCTCCCATTAGTTAGAGTTTAAACGGTGCATCTGCTTACATTAATTTTACAAATCTGTGAAAGGTGAGGTGGGCAATTGGCATCGAATCTTTTTGTCATCCCACCCCCCAAACATTTACATTATTATTCAATACATCATTTTGCCATTTTCATGACATTCACCGCTGGTTTAAACTTCGTACCACCAGGTTTAGATCTCATTGGTGTGTGGGGTTGATTTGGAGTGAAGTATGTGTGGGCCCCCGCCCTACCTTCTCATCACTTAAGTTGACATATACAATAAGTAGTTGGAGTAAATCACACTTATTTATCTATCCATCTATATATGCATATATTTATTTGTGGTTCTAATTTTTTATGATTTTTTTAGGAATAATTATTAAAAAAAAAAAAAGAAGAAGAAGCAACTTCCTCACAAATTAAATTTGTCAAAACTTACATCCACATCACACAAATAATGTGTATTTACATATATACCTCTTAATATTTACATATTTAAAATACAACTCTTAAAAAATTATGGAGAAATTCTTCCCCCTTCCTAGCATGTGATATAGGCTAATTAACCCACTAAGATCCCTGATTGAGGCAAGTGAGACCATGTGTGAGAATAGTAAACAATTAGATTCTAATACAAAATAGTAAGAAACTTAGTAATATACTTGAGATGAGAGAGAGAGAGAGACAGAGAGTGATATCTCTATCTATAAATCTATTATAAGCCATAACATGCAAGCCCAATTTTAAAGCAAAATATAGGATTTAACTATAATTAGCTCCAATAAATGCTTTGGGTTGAGCTCACTTTAGGATTAACCCGTCAAATAAAACCAAGTTTGAATGGAGGCATTGTTTATTCTATATTTTCCATTAGATGAGCTAAACTTGAATCTTTTTATTATTAAGGATAAAAAAACTTGGGGCATTTGCATACATACCACAACATTCCTATTTATTTACATATCCAACAACTATATTTTTGTCGGATTTATTTTCGAGTAACATTACTCCCGGATAAACTTGTGCGTCCTCTTTTAAACCTAGTTGATAAATGAGAATAAAGACTTATTATTGTTGCAAGTTGTTGGCCAACAATAATGCTCCATATCCCCCAACTTTAGGGTTCAGGGTTTTTAGAGTTGCCCTCATTGTGTGTGACCACTTGATAGTGTTCACCTTCATTTAGAAGAGCTAAATAGATGGACGAACTTATGTTACAAGCCCAACAGAACTTGGAACTACATACCAACCCCGGACGCTCGTCATTGGAGAGCTCGTCCATGTTTTGAGACGCCCCGTTATCTCACATGTGAGAAGACATGAGAATTTTGAGACCACTTGGGAGCAACCTTGTATGATCAAAAAGGTCTATGAAGATGAAGCCTTGCACACTAATTGATACGGATAGCAGCCACCTAATAATAATAATACCACACATTTTTATGTATAAATTTATGACACCAATATGATATAAATATAAATATGAAAGTTTTAAGTGTTACATTCATAAATAAATAAAAATTGTGCGCTATGTATGTAGGGGTGTAAACGAACCGAACACCTGCTGCTGCTGGACACTTAAGTAACATCAGATGAATATACTGTCTCAGAAGCTATCCAATTCAAAAATAGCAGCACATCAAATAACTAAAATCTTAAAAACAGGAATGTTTTTAAGGTTTAATAACATTCATCCAAGCATATAGTATAATTGATGAGCAACAGCTCTCCCACTAAGGTAAAGTTTATTCAATATGCTGGACGACAATTAAGAATTATTTGTTGGAAAGAGAAAAAAGATAAATTAAAATTTTTTTATAAATAGCATTTGCAAACATTCTAAACCTCCCACAATAGATGACAAGCATAGCTCCACATGAGCAGATCATTCATAGGCAAAAACAGACTGTGAAATCTAAAATAAAACACCATTCATATCAATATATTAAAAGACATCAATGCATACAACTATGCTTGTGAAGAAGCACAATAACAAAGTTGGTGTAAAATGCATAAATTTGCTACAACAGCCCAATCCAAACTACAAATCATACGCATACAAACCATATATATTATATAGAAAAATATCTGATAGAGAGGGAAACATCATCATACAAGAAAGAAAAAAAAAAAAGGGAAAACAAAAACAAGCTTGCACACACAAGGCATCAAATACCATGGAATATCTAAATACCGTACCAAATACCCATTTAGTAAACTTTAGAAGCACTTCCTATGCACGATAGCCGGGCCAGATTCATCATATTCAGCCTTAGATATCCACATCTGTAGCAAATCAAAATAACACGCAAAAAATGAATACCCAGCATAAAAAATTATTGGGGCATTTACATACGTGCCAACACAATTCTTATATATTTACATATCTAACGCCTAAACTTTAAGATTTAGATAAATATCACTCAAATCTACAACATCATATAAAAAAAATACCACTATCACTAACTTCTTAAAAGTGAAGAACATCTTTTTCATGTATAAGTTTATGATACCAAAGTATCATAAATGTGAATATTAAAATTTAAGGGGTCAGATATGTAAATACACAAGAAATGTGTGTCATAAATGTAAATTTCCCGATTAATCTTTGTTTTATTTACTCTCTGGATTTTGTTTTGGAATCCCTTTGAGTGAGCTACAGATGAATGGCAACAATCCATTTTCGCATTTGAGTGACCCGACCATACATAAAAATCAAACTTTGGTGAAAAAAAATTACCTGCTGGAATGTGCTCAAAGAAGCCAAAATAGACCCTCCAATCCAGACGCTATACTTCCTTTCCGGCGGAGCTACCACTTTAATTTTCATGCTGCTTGGTGCCAGAGCAGAGATCTCCTTGCTCATACGATCAGCAATGCCAGGGAACATGGTGGAACCACCGCTAAGCACAATGTTTCCATACAAATCCTTCCTGATATCAACATCACACTTCATGATCGAGTTGTATGTAGTCTCATGGATACCGGCAGCCTCCATACCGATGAGAGATGGCTGGAAAAGCACCTCCGCACATCTGAACCTCTCAGCGCCAATGGTGATAACTTGACCATCCGGAAGCTCATAGCTTTTCTCGATCGAGGAGCTACTTTTCGCTGTCTCGAGCTCCTGCTCATAGTCCAAGGCCACATAAGCGAGTTTCTCCTTGATATCTCGGACAATTTCCCGTTCGGCTGTTGTTGTGAATGAGTAACCCCTCTCTGTGAGGATTTTCATGAGGGCATCGGTCAAATCCCGACCGGCGAGGTCAAGCCTGAGAATTGCATGCGGTAGAGCATAGCCTTCATAAATGGGAACTGTGTGGCTGACACCATCACCGGAATCCAACACAATACCTTCAAAAGAGAAGAATAATTTAAATGAGGAAGATTTACAAACATGACACTCAATTCATATGCATTTACATATGAGTGAAAAGGCATGTTTCACTTTTTTAAAAGTTAAAAAGGTGGTATTTTTCATGTGATATGAATGATTTGGGTGGTATAACCCTAAACCCTAAATTTTGGGTGTGAAATATGTAAATACATATGAAATGAGTGTGGTAAATGCCCCTTCAAATGGACTACTCTACTTATATGTTCTGTGCAAATTTGGTGATAGAGCATATTACCTGTTGTTCGACCACTAGCATAAAGAGAAAGCACGGCCTGAATGGCAACATACATGGCTGGAACATTAAAGGTTTCAAACATAATTTGGGTCATCTTCTCTCTGTTAGCCTTAGGGTTAAGAGGGGCTTCTGTGAGAAGAACTGGATGTTCTTCCGGGGCAACACGAAGCTCGTTGTAGAAGGTATGGTGCCAAATTTTCTCCATGTCGTCCCAATTGCTGACAATACCATGTTCAATGGGATACTTTAGCGTTAAAATACCCCTTTTCGACTGCGCCTCATCCCCAACATAGGCATCCTTTTGACCCATTCCCACCATGACACCGGTATGCCGTGGTCGACCAACGATACTTGGGAAGACAGCCCTGGGAGCATCATCTCCGGCAAACCCAGCCTATTTGCAAGAAAGAAAAAAGATAATTTTTTTAACATAAAATTGTTATCCTGATTATCAAAGCTTCAAACATGAAAATTAGATTGAAAGAAGGTCGTTGAAGTGTGAAAGAAAGCACACACCTTCACCATGCCCGTGCCATTATCAACAACAAGGGGCTGAATATCCTCAGCTTCAGCCATAGTTTATGATGAACCTGCTTATACCACAAATCATCAAGCTTTTTACAGAAATATATAAATTAAGCATTCTTTGGAGTCTGACTAAAAACCCTTGGCCATGAAAATGGCAAAACATAGAGCCTATCTTATGATCCAATCCCTAAGAAAAATTAATAGCCTTGCCCCTTTGCTCATACAATACAATAGTGAAGCTATTTTATCCAAAGGTTTACTTGGAAGCATTCAAAACTATTCCAAAACCAACCAACGGTATAAAATATAAACTTGTGATTGAAATCAGGTTGACCCGTTATTAAGTTATCAAACAAGTTTAATCGGACAAGTTCTTAAATGATGTTAAACATTAATGTTTCAACCATACAACCATATTTGAGTAGGCTGAGTTTATCATGTGACCACAAGAGCTTGTACCGAGTTAAGTAAGTAATTAATCATGAGCCACCCAATTTCGGACCTCATCAAGTTGCCAAGTAGAAAAACCTTACTTGATTCTCAAAATCGAGCTACCAAAAAATCACAAAGTCGCCAACTTGACAAACAAGCTCACCTAAAGAACTCAAATACTCGTCAGGATCATCAAACGATATAACACATACTATGCCGCGAACCTTAATGCTAACAATCAGGGAGATCATTGGAAGAACATAGACATGCCGTAATCCTTAACTTTTAGCCAAAAGTCTATCCAACTGAAATCCCTTTGAGATATCCTTGTTTGATTCTCCACTCTTTAGTCTGGATCTGTATCAAAGGTAAAATCTTGGTATCTTCTACCAACAAAATCAGATCCAACACTAACTTCCGATATAAGCTCTAGCCGCTGATGAAAGTTTCGCCAGATAACAAAAAGGGGCATCTTTTCCGACATAGATCGCGTGAACCAGCACAGCATATACGAAATAACAGAAGAAAAGGGGCAGCACACTCACACAAAAAAAGGTCAATCACAGAATCCAATATAATCGGAGAACATATAATAAAAATAAATCCGAGAAGAATTATAATATACTCCACGCATAACCCTGGGCAGATCTACCATGAACCGAGACCATCAACCAGAGAACTCCTAAATAAAAACACAATCAACGAATTCGCCGTATAAAAAAGTAGTAGGATGCCGAAAACCATCAGATCGGCAACGACTTCAAAAAATCATCGGAGAAAAGAAGCCTAAATCGAAGTGAAAGATTTGTGGTTTTTACCTTTTGTGGCAGCTGGGAGAAGGGCGAGGGTTTCAGAGAAGCTCTCGCACAGGCGGGAGGGAGTATGAGGAAGAAAATTTAGGGGTTAGGTGGGATAGCATCATAACAATGGATGGGTTAGATCTGGAGGAGAAGGGGTAAATTCGGTATTTCATAGCTTCAGCACTTAACCAAGTCAGTTTCCCCCTGTTCCCATACTACGCACTTAGAAATACCATGCGTAGCCAATAAAATCACGCCACGCGCGAGAGGAGAAAAAAACGGCATTAGCATCATAACAATGGATGGGTTAGATCTGGAGGAGAAGGGGTAAATTCGGTATTTCATAGCTTCAGCACTTAACCAAGTCAGTTTCCCCCTGTTCCCATACTGACCCTTATCATGAATTTTTTATATTTGAGTTAGAACATGAAAAATGAACGAACGGTGTTAAATTTGTAAATAGTAATATTACTCCTAAAGATATTATTTTATAGTCAATATCATAGGCACACAATAAAATTCTTCTGTAGCTTCTATTTAAGCTGTGGCTTGTGACTATCAATCACCCCAAAATTCACATTTGAATTTCCTAAATATTATCCGCGAACAATTTATGCTGGCTCATATTCGAATCATTTGTTAAGCTAGTAAGTCGAAAATGAGTAAATATTTGAAGCTCAAAGTATAAATTAGCCAAACAGGAATAGCCTTTTGTTGGGCTGTTTTTGGCTCGTTTTAGCTCGAAATAATAATAAAAAAAATTATATGTATCTATATATAAATTGAAATCACATCAACTTGTATGGCCATTTGTTTTTTATTGCATGAAATGGTTCATGTTCGAATCTAATATTTTTCATCTATTTTTCTAATTAATTTATATGAGACAATTTCAACCTGAACAAAAGTTAAGAAACACGAACAAGAATATGTAAATTGAGTTAAACACAAACACACTATTCACAAACAATTTAAAAAAAAAATCAGTTTCAAACCAAATTAATTTTGAACGCGTCAAACACGAGTTGGCCTTGAGCTCACTGAAACTCAGCTCGTTTATAATCCTAGAGCGGATGAGATGTTGTTTCTCTGGTTGGGTATTTTTGATCCATTAAATAAAAAATTGTGCTAAAATTTCAGGTATTTTTTTCAATTAAATACATGATGCACAAAACATGAGTGTTTCATAGTATCCCAAATAAGTATGTGTTTGGGTGATCGCAGCTTTTGTGATAAGTGGTTGAAAAATTATGACGGAGAAAGTAATTTTTTAGAAAATTATGACATTTTTTTCTTATAAATAAGACAACATTTCTCTTCATGTCTAAAAAACAGTCAAGTTTTATCCTCCTCTTTTATCACTTTCATTTTATTAAAGCCTCGGATCCTACTTTTTATTTTTTTTTCGCAGATTTTATCCTCCTCTTTTATCACTTTCATTTTATTAAAGCCTCGGATCCTAATTTTTATTTTTTTTTCGCAGAACTTGAGGCTTGTTTGAACATCACATCCCAAACAAGCTTTAAGTGTGATGATCACGACCTGTCCAAGCATCCTTTTTTTTTTTTTTTTAGCTTTAAGTGTGATGATCACGACCTGTCCAAGCATCTTTTTTTTTTTATTATCCTTTTTTTTTTTTTTTATTTTTTATTTTAAAGAGATATTCTTGTCAAGCACGCAATTTAAATATTTATATTTTTTTACATCAAAATTATAATTATATATATAATTTTTTTATTTTTTTTTAAAATAAAGGAGCAGAGCTTGACTTGTGTTCGGCTCGTTCAAAATAGCTCGTGTTTGAAATCGACTCATAAACAGTGTGTTCGTGTTCTGCTCGATTTAAATATTCGTGTTTGTGTTTAGCTCGCAAAAAAATAGTTTGAAAAAAATAGCTGTAAAGTATGATATTTGAAACTGAGTCAAATGTATACAAAAGAAGATATTAACCACATTACCACCAAGGTGTTATGATTTAAATTTAATATAAATTTATATAATATATTATTATATAAATAATATATATAATATATTATTATATAAATAGTTATATAATTTTTTTTTATTTCGAGCTAAAACGAGCCAAACATGAGCGAACAAAAAGATATTTGTGTTCGGCTCGTTTACAATTCGAGCTTTAAAAACTTGTTCGTATATGGCTCATTTACTTAACTTACAAGCCGAACACGAGTTGTTTGCGAACAACGAGCTTTTTTGATAACACTAGATACGAGAGATTTGGGTGTGATAAATGACAAAAGCAAAGATAATTATGGGGACATGTATGTAAATGCCCCATAATAAAAACAAACAATTTTTAATATTTCAAACAAACTTTTATTCCATATCAAAACATAAATAAGAGAAAGAAAAACAAATAAAAATATAATTAAACCAGCACGATGGCTCTAGTGTGATTCACCTGCATGTATTAGAGGCATACAATTGCCTGATACAAATACCACTCAATTCATATGTATTTACATAACCTACACCAAAATTACAATTTTTACATACATGAAAATGCATATTTCACTTTTTAACAGCTGAAATGGGGGTGTTTTTGATGTGATATGAAAGATTGAAATGGTATACATGTAAAAAAATCAAAGTTTAAGTGTTCGATATATAAACATATAAGAATTGGGAGGTATGTATGTAAATGCCCCCATTGTTAGATAACATAGATATATCAGTAAATAAAATGACAAACAACCCTGATGTTAAGAAGGGAGACATTTTTCTCAGCAAAGTCTATACCAAATAATTAATACATACTCGACGAAACAACACATCATTGGATAGAAAGATAAAAGGAAAAACAGTAAGGCAAAATATGGGAATGAATTTGAATGTTACCTGTATGATGTATTTTACGACTCCAAATCTATTAATCTGTCCCAGCGTTTTCTTAAATGTTTGTAAGCCTTCGAACAAGGAACCGCTTTTGGTTTGAGATTTCCTTCAACAGGAAATTCATAAACAAGACCCAATCTCATTAGCGTATCCATAGCACTATCAATGGGCATATCAATCTGCAATATCAGTAAGTTCGCCAACCAAATTAATCCATTAGTATAATATAAATGAAGCTATATTGGTTTCATACCTGTACATTAAACTTGTCAAACAAGAACATTTCACACTCGGCTCCGATGCTTTTATGATTCGAATCCTGTAGAGGACAAGAGTTCATTTTCTCCAGGAATGACAAAAGGGACATCTACATACATACCACCCTATTCCTATGTATTTACATATCTAACACCTAAATTTTTCTTTTTTACACTTATACCACCCATATCTTTCACATCACATCAAAAGTACCATTATTTTAAATTTTGGAAAGTGAAATACACATTTTCATCCATGGAGAAGGTGGCATATATGTAAAAGATGAACTTCAGGTGTAGGATATGTAAAAACATAAGTATCGAGTGATATATTTATATATATATATATATATATGTATATAAGTCTTCCATGATAAAAACATTGTAGTGAAGCTTAATAATGTTGATCATTGGTACTTGGCACTTTGCTGCTTTGTATTTTGGACATTCTCCTACTTTGTACTGCACAGTGTAAATTGTCATTTTGCTTTGTTCTTAATTTGGTGTTTTCTCGATCACTAATTTTCACTGATTTTCATCATTAGATTCTTTGAAACTACTTCAGGTAAATTAACGAACGAAAAATAAATCTTACTGTTTTTAAAGTTTCAATAATTCTAATTGAAAGTATTTGCTCAAAAAAATCACCTTCATTTCATTGATGAAGGGCTTATACAGAGTCTTACCAATTACAATATTTACAGATAAATCCCTATACATCATCTATTTACAAATGGAATCCTAAAATAGATACAAATCTCAACACTTCCCCTCCTCAAAATGACCAAAAGATATTCACTAAACCAATCTTGCCACATAACCTAGACAAATTTAACGGGCTAAGTCCTTTGATGTGGCAGTTAGCCACTTGCTCTCCAGTGGCCACATGACTTAGCTCCAGTTAGGGGTGTAAACGAGCCGAACACGAGCGAGTCTCGTTAAAAAAATACCACTGTTTATGTTCGGCTCGTTTATATTTCGAATTAAAAAAATGTGTTCGTGCTCTACTCGTTTGCTTAGCGAACAGAACACGAGCTGTTTGTGAATGAAATCATTTTCACAACTCTAGTCATGTAGCCGTAAGATGTTACGGGTTGGGGTGAGATTTAAATATTATCATTTATATTAATTTTTATTATATTTTTTAACTAATAATTTTAATTGATTATGAATCTTTGTAGGCAATTATTTTTTAAGAAAATACTACTCAACAATTATATATATATATATATATAATTCAATTATTTCGAGCAAAAATGAGCCAAACATGAATGAATAAATATTTGTTCGTGTTCAGCTCGTTTATATATTGAGCATGAAAAAAATTATTCCTGTTCGGCTCCTGAACTTAGTGAACAAATCGAACACGAGTTTCTTAGAGAGCCAAACATAAACTGTTCGCGAACAACGAGCTGTTTTGATAACCCTAGCTCCAGTAGCCCGTTATTCAGCTTTCCCTTGATTGTCGACTTGTTATCACACCACATGTTTAGTTCCATCATGTTGCATCGGGTTGTTAGCAATGCAGATTGCCGATTTGTTGTCGCACCAAAACTTCATTTGAGTTCAACCAATAAGGTTTTCAACATCATCATCTCAGCAACTCCTAATGTCATGACCCTGTATTTTGCCTTTGTTGTTGATCTTGCTACAACTGATTGTTTCTTACTTAAGAGGTAGTGGGATTCAGGCTGAAGATGAGTGAAGAATGTATGCAATGTGGAAAAAGCAAACTTAAAGAACAAAGTCTGCATTGCCAACAAGTCCCTTGTCTCGATCTTCCCCAAGCCTTGAGAAACCTACACCATCCACCTTTGATTTAAAACTCCTAGGTTATATTATTCCTCCTCCGTCCACTCCTACCCCCCGACGTTAAGGAAGAACTCCCGCAGTAATGCAGGAAATCCTCTTGATCGTTTTGGTCAAGAAATTGTCATTTCAAACTTTATTTCTTATTCTAATATCTCACCTTTGAGCGAAACATTCATTGCATTATTTGACTATGTCTCTATACCCAAGTGTTGGCAAGTTGTTAAAGAGGATTCCAAGTGGAAAGCAGCGATGCATGAAGAGATTGGAGCTCTTAATAAAAACCAACATGGGAAATTGTACCACTACTAGCAGGGAAGAAGACACTTGGATGCAACTGAATCTTCAAGGTAAAGCAAATTCCAGAAGGGAATGTGGAGAGGTACAAAACATGACTAATGAAAAAAGGGTAGAGTCATACATATGACATTGACTATGATGAAACCTTTACAATAGTCACAAAGATGAGCAAGGTGAAGACACCAACTTTTCTAGCAGTGAATGGTGGATGAAGACGATCAACTGGATGTGAAGAATGCTTTTTTTTCATGGGAAGCTACTGGAGGAGGTATATATGAAGATACCTCCAGGATTTAGTACATCCCAAACAGTGGGCAAGGTGTGTAGACTCAGGAAGTCACAGTATGACTTGAAGCAATCTCCTCGAACGTGTTTGCCAAGTTTAAAATAACAATAGTTGGCATATGATATCAACATATCAATGTAGAGCACACGGTCTTCTTTCGACAACATGAAAGTGAAGGTCACACTGTCATACTTGTTGTGTATGTGGATGACAGATACTTGTTGTGTATGTGGATGACATAATTATCACTGATGATGATAAGACAGAGATTACTCAACTGAAAGAAATATTGGGGAAGTAATTTTAGTTTAAGGACTCGGGACAGCTCAGATGTTTTCTTAGGATTTAAGTGGCTAATGGACCTAAGGTGATGAACCTATCCCAGAGAAAGTATGTACTGGATCTTCTCATGAAGACAGGTGTGCGGGGGTGCAAACCTGCAGTTTCTATAATTGATCAGAAGTTTAAGCTCAGTACAGAGACAGTTGAATTAGTTGATCGTGAGAGGTACCACAGAATGGTAGGCCGCCTAAACTATTCGTGCCACACTTTACCTAGTATTTCTTTTGTAGTAAGTGTAGTGAGCCGCTACATGCATGATCCAAGGACGAGCCATAATGATGCAGTGTATCGGATCCTGAGGTATTTGAAAAGTACACCAGAGAAAGGGTTGATATTTAGGAAAAAATGGGCATGTAAATATTGATGGCTTTTGTGATTTTGACTGAGCAAGTTGTGCTGATGACAAACGATCCATATCGAGATACTGCATGTTTACAAGTGACAACTTGGTCTTGTGGAAGAGCAAGAAACAATCAGTTGTAGTAAGAACAACAACTAAGACAGAATACAGAGCCATGATATTAAAAGTTGCTGAGATGATGTGACTGAAAGCCTTGTTGGTTGAACTCAAAAGTGGATTAGAGAACTCAAATTAAGTTGTGGTGTGACAATAAGTCGGTAATCAACATTGCCAACAACTCGGTGCACCATGATAGAACCCAACATGTAGAGATTAATAAAATCTTCATCAAGGAAAAACTGAATAACAGACTATTGGAGCTAAGGGTGCATTTCAGGCGGCAGTGTGGTTGCGGCGTGGTGCCGCACCGCAATTTTTCCTATTTGGTAAAACAGTTTTTTGTTTGCATTCTCAAAAAGCTGCAGTTAAAAACTGTGTTTTCCCATCATTGCTTGGTACATGCAGTTGCTGCTAGAAAAATGCATTTTGACTTTTTTTTTTTAAAAAAATGTAGCAGCAACCATAGTTTTTTGAATAATAACTTCTTCTTCAGCAGTTTCACAGTTGCAGCTGCCCCAAACAAACCCTAAGTAGCTACTGGAGAGCAAGTGGCTGCCACACCAAAGGACTTAGCTCATTATATTTATCAAAGTTATGTGACAAGATGGGCTTAGTGAATATCTTTTGTCAATCTTGAGGGAGGGTGTTGAAATTTGTATCTAATGCAGGATCCTATTGGTAAATAGATGAAGTCTAGGGATTTATTTATAAATGCTATTGTAGGCTCTATATAAGTCTGTCATCAATGAAATGAAGGTGATTTTTTTAGCACTAATTTTTATTATAACAAAAAAAAAGGATGATAGAAAAACAAAATTACCACGATGCCATGAAACAGAAGAAGAAAAATGCTTCTTGTATGTTTTTTTGTTCTATAATCACAAAAGAAAATAAAAATAAAGCTTAATACCTCATTTTTTACTGGGCGCAGTAAAATTGCATACAGCAAAATTGCTTCCTTGTACTGTTAAGATATCAAAGTCATAAAGAAGGCTGATGACAAGTAATCTCCCAATAGAAGTATGTATCACCATAAAAAATCATGTTCCATGTTGAGTCTTACTTGCTGCAGTTCCGATGCATCTAGAAGAAAATGGACTGAACCAAAGCCACTCGCTAAAGTTTTTTCATAAAGAGTCTTGTTGACAAGAAGCTAGCAAGAACCAAACATATCGAAGTCATACAATGCACTTAAATGTTCTGCATATGTGAGGAACTCCAATTTAGCGTAATAAGAAATGCAAATACGGATAACTAGGAAAAGTATCAAAATTTTACTGTATACATAGCCAGCATATATGCATGTGAAATTCTTCATAGTAATTCTAAAGTGCACCTTACATGTGAAGTAGCAAAAATCAGTTGAATGAATTTGTATAATTACATGTTGATGGGACAGGAATAAAACCTGATATCTATCCCATGTCTGCTTATAACCTAGGACGATGCGGCTCACGTATACTATAAGCGCAGTGATGGCAATCACATCAAGTAGTACTGCAGATCTGGATAAGAATTTATCTCATATTAATAGGTATCGCAGAAGGAATATTCACAATGAAATATCAAAAAATTGGAATTATACAGCAGAAAAAAAAAGTCCCAAGTTTTCTTTTTTTTCTTTCAAATTCTACCGAAGTGCTGTATGAACTTATCCACACGAAGTGCATACATCTAGCATGAGCCATGCTGAAGAATGCAGAGTCAAAACAACAAAAAAATAAAAATATAATCAGAAATTCTGCCAAATTTATCTTCCTAAGCATGTTTAATTTTAGAAAATCCTGTTCTTAATAACGTAACATAAGACCCATTTTGTAAATTTTGAACTTGAATCTCTTCAAATTTCAGCAGTTATTGCTTTCCAGAATAGTTCTGCAATGGTTTCATTACCTATCAACATGTATCAACATGTACCGGTACTAAAAAAAATGAGAATGATTAAAATTGTATGTTACTTCTCTCAGTTTTCCTCATCTTCCTGAAGTGGCTTTCATCTTCCTTATCATGGCTAGTTTCAATTACTAATAACTTCAATACTACTTTATCTAATTTTAAAACAATACGAATGTCCTATAAAGTGTAATAGCTAGTGAAAGTGATAGATTTCACTTAGTTTTTATTTACAGGCCCGTAATATGGTTTTCAAGAGTTATAATCCAGTAATGTGATTTCTAGGAAACTGCACATAGAAAGACAAGGCATAGCTGTTATGAAAAAAGTTTACATAATTAAACTCAGAGCATCTTTACAAGTACAGAAACATCCAACATAATACAGATCCACTTCCTTATGTTCATACAAGTAAAATACGGCATGCTTACGGAGACGAAAGGATGTTCTCAAATTTGTAATTCAGAAAAAAAGCCAATAACCCTAATATGCTTGCAACGTCCAAACGTACCTGCGACATAAAACATAGCAAATAGTAACCAAGAGGATAACAGTAAACTGGAAGTGGTTATCAACAAATGATATTGAGATATAGAGTTCCTTAAAGATAAATGTAAGGTGCTTTCCCATAGGCAAACCGGAACAAATAAATATGCAAAATTATAATTAGACAGGCATAGAAAAGGCAAAAGTAAATCTTCTTTTCTTAATACATACTATCTAAGACTAAGCCTTTCCTATATGTAGCAGTCAGGAAAATCAAAAAAAACTGCAAAAAAAAAAAAAAAAAAACTTTATTGACGGCTACAGGATCGATGTTCTATCCTGATGAGGCAAAATTTCTATCCTCGCTTTCTTACTGCGGTAAACAGGCCAAAAAAAATAATGTAGAGATAATTCTGAATCATTACTTTAACAAGAATATTTGAAGCATAACCATCTTACATATATATATATATATATTATGCTCATTTTTAATGATATTGCACTTTAAAGGAAGTTACTTTGCATATTTTTTGTTTCAGGTACAAGAAATGAAGTTTTGGAGAAAATGACCTAAAATTGGAGCAATTTGGTGTTCAATGGAACAAAGTATACATTTGGAGCAAATTGGAGCTAAAACTTGACTAAAAGAAATGGCCCAAAGTCGGTTTGAGTTGGTTTGGACGGTTTCGGGCTATTCTAGAAGAATCTAGGCAGCAATGCACGCCCAATGGAGTTATTAAATGAATCTAGACACTTGAAAATGAAGAGGTGTGTCTCTTGAAATGAAAATATGTGCCTCTTGGAGTGAAGATGTGTGTCTTTTAGAATGAGAAGTTGCTTGGTTTCTCTTTAAAAAGAGGGGTTGGAGAAAAGTTTAAGGTGAGTTTTAGAGAGATGTAGCGCGTCTCTTCAAGGAGACGTGCTTGTGAGTGTGCAAAGGATGAAGTGTGTGGAGTATTGGTGACTTTTGAGACGTCGGGAGAAGTGCAAGAGATTACTATTTGTTATAAAAGGTGGGCGTGAATCTTTTGTAAAGATAAGCCTTGAACTCTTTTTGTATTTTTTTTAATTATTGTAATATAGTTGTGTGATTTCAATGTCAAATGCAATGAAGAGTCCATGTGTTTTCTTCATGCTTAGTGAGAAATTTTTTTACTCTTTCTCTTTGCAATGAGAATTAATTATGTGTAGGATTAGAATGGTATGAAGATTTCTTTTATTTTAAAATTTGTGATTGTATTTTCACTGATTTTTAATTTACTTTGCAAACTGATCACTTGTAATGTTAAAACCCGTTGTGAAACATAATGGTCCGGGAGGGCTATGATTTCACCCAATTAGTGAGTACCACATTAACCTCAAGAGGAGGGCAACAAAAATCTAAGGTAAGTGCAAATAGATAAAGAGATAAGTTTTGATAGACGTAAAATTTGTGTTTATAGGGTGACAGACTAGATTCTTTACTAATTTGGTCTAGAGTTGGACCTTGAGTCCCTGGTTAGTCCTAGAGAGAGAGCACAGTGAGTAATCTAGAAGTGAGAGACTAGAATCTACTCAATATAACCATACAATCAAGAACTAATTTTAGATTAGTCAATGTTCTTTATGTGTTCGGGAGAGGGTAAGGAATATGTATGCTCCTATTTGTCACAAAACTACATTTAAATCTTTAAAAATTTGATTCCTACATTAATTATGGTTTCATCGCAAAGAGAAAGAGATTTTAATTATATAAAAACTTTCCAAAATTTAACTAGCCTCCGTAGTTTAAGTTTTTATTTAATTTAGTCACTTTTAACTTTAGAGTAAATTAGTGAATTAAGGAAAACCAAACTTTTTAAAAAATCAAAACTAAGACCTGATAGCATTAGACTAGAATTAGCTCAAGAGATTTCTTACCCTGGTTCTCTGTGGGATTGATATTGGGGTTTTTAAAGAAACCCCTAGAGTGTAAACTATAAATCGAATTATAAACTCTATTTTGCACACTGAGCAAAAATAAATTTGGGTCAAGTGTTTGGCTAGAAAATTAAGTAACTGCGTAATTGCGGGTCGGGTCAAAGCATCTCATCTTTTTTAGAGCTTCCGGCGATTTCATTGAAATATTTAAGTCAATTCAGAAAATGGGGTCTTTCGTATTAAGAAAAAAATATGTAATGAAAACCCTCTCTCTCTTAGCTTCTCACTTTTCCTCTCCCTTCAATTCTGTGTTTCACTCCTTTATTCTCATCTCATAGGAAAATGAGGTCCTTTCCCTTCAAATAAAGGAACACCTCATAATGGATAATATTCTCAACTTAAATTACAAACACTTGATATGATTGTCATTGATAATATGATATCAATAAACAAAAGAAAACCATGATCCAAAAGAAAATTGGATTAAAGTTTGCCCATGTGCATGACAACAAGATATGGACATTTCAAGTGCATGCTTTTGTCATTAAGAAAGGATAGCAAATAAAATAATCCCTTACCAGTCTCTTGGAATAAATTTATAAAGCAAAAAAAAAAAAGTGAAAATAAAAAAAGTAACGAGATAACATACCGTATCTAGAATCCTGAATGACAGCTTTTTGTGAGGGAAAATGACCTGCATATGAAACGCCTCTATATTAATGATGCTATTTTCTATCAAATACACTTACAGTAATAGAAAAGAAATCTTTCAAAGAACAAAAATGATTGAGTGCCCATTTAGTAACCGCGAGATCTGGAATAGGTATTCTCTCATAAATCTTCAAATGCAATGGTAAAGCATCTTCCTTATCTTCCCTTTGATTTAGCTCATCAGTATAAAGAAGAATCAATTCTTCAAAAGCAGGCTCCTGATTTATAACTAGAAAGTTAAATACCCGAGCAAAATTAGAAAGCAATAATATCCAACTACTGAATTAACCAAAAGAATAATAATTATTTCAAAGATTCTTTGGAGAGGAGTATCAGATCCAACACAGCACCAAACAACTAAAATATTTTAGAAGAAGGTTACAAAATTGAAAACAAACTATTGAAACTAATAGAATATCATGTTGTATAGTGTTAGCTCCCTAAAGCAAAGATAGAAACAATCTTTTGATAGAAACGAAACCAATTTCAATGAAAGGTAAAAGCAAATGATTAATACCTGAAGAATTGACCTCGAAAACAAAATTGACAAAGCAGTCCTCAAAATTTTCCAAACATTGTATCCACACGATTCCTTTGAAGCAGGTTCCCATAAGTTGTTGAGAGTAATTCTTTGTAAGAAGTTCGGCCTAAAGAGACATACCATTAATCTGTATAACTGTTTGAATGAGATAATTGAATTCAAAAGATATCACTTTAGCCTGCCTTTTGTTTATTATCATAAGAAAGCCTGCAAAATTTGTTTCTTGTTGAAAATACAAATTTGTGGGCAAACCTTCCAAAAATTTATGTTAAATAAAAAAGGGATAGCACTATTCCTGTCATGAGTACAGTATAGCTACTTTTTGGTAAAAATATGCATGTATGGATGGAGGAAAGCTCAAGTAGCAAATGAGCGAGCTCCATGAAGCATGAGCCCAACTAAATGCTTCATAAGTATAAGAGAAACTACGGGCTCCATAAGAACTAGTAAAAGAGAAACTACCGTGCAATCCAAAGATGAAGTTCTCCATAACCACTGTAGATGTTAATGCAATCAATTCAACAACCTCTAAAATAATTTTCATGGAATATAGTAATATTACAGAAGGATATATAATAAAACAACCAATCAAACAAGGTTGGAACAATCTAGAATCTAGGCCAAGCCAAAAGGATATGCAGATTTTGACAATAAAATCAGGAGTTAAAAGTGGCAGATTTCTGGATGTTTTAAGGAAAACTGGATATCCCTAAACAGCTGGAGAAGGTTTCACACTTTCTCACTTCTGTAAAAGCCAAACAACCATATCTTTATATTTTCAACAAAACAGCAACTCTAGCAAATTCAAATCCAAAAAAGTCTTCACAAAAGAATAATGCGGCATTGGTAACTACACAAGGAACCATGAGTGGAAGTAACTCAAGTATGCACTAGTTCTTATAAC